TCCGACTTTTCCTTAACTGATCTGACTTTCCCTTAACTGATCTGACTTTCCCTTAACGATCCGAACCTTTCCTTAACGATCTGACATTTTACCCTTCTGATCCCTTTACCCTTAACTGATCCGACTTTCCTTAACTGATCATCTACTTCCTCTTAACTGAGCCTACTATATCCTACTTTACGATCTCTGCTTCACTCTTAACTGAATCTCTACTTCCTTTTAATGATTTACTTTATTCCTCTATTGTATAACTCTCATTCATCTTTACATGGTCTTAGCAATTCCTCTTTTAGGATAATACTCTACTTGTCCTCTTTACAAGTATCAACAAACAAAAAAAAAAAAATCTCTATTAGTTTATACTCTACTATCCTCTTTACTAGATTCATAGACATTAATCTATCCTAATATACATAACAGAATGCACCAGTAAAAACACAGAGAACAACGTCACCAAGACAGTGTCCTGAAGTGGTCTTCGCCTCTGAACGAGGCGGCCAGTAACAACATATACAGAAGACATAACATCATACGAGCGTAAGCCGTAAGCAAGAACAGACAGGAGGAGAACAGATAGACATATAGAAAACAAACAACGTAGAAATAGAAAGTGTACAGACCGTGACGGCGCTGGGCGAGGGCGAGCCCTAACGAGTTCAGGGTCCATCGCCAAGCAACGCCAACCAGCGTGTTCCAGCCTGCCGTTCACAAGTCCACCCGGATCCGTGCAGTGCAGCGACTTTGGTAAGACCGCCCCAAAAAACATAAATGTAGATATAAGAAGAATAGACAGAGTTTACGATCATTTCTGTATGTTATAGAGATTATATGGACATTAAATATTTACACGCAAGACAGACACACAGACAGATAGCGTAGAGACAGATTAATATGTCTTCAAGCATTACAAATGAGAAAATATAATAAAAAGAGATAAGATAACAATATGATAAAACATATGAACATTTATTAAAAGGACAAAACATACACTGGTATCTAATTTCATTTTAAATACTGAATACATTATAAGAATATCTACAAGATAAATTTCACGAGGCAACATAAAATATAAGTAATCATAAGCATTGTTAAAATTGATTATAATATAGGATGTTGTTTTGGGTCCTGTCTGATCCAGTTCACTTCCCCCCTCAACCCACAGAGCACTCCCAGGCCGCAGAACCTGGACAGAAACTGCATGAAGAGACAGAATAGGTGCGGGTCCAGGGCCGGTCAGACCTAGAGATATATAAGACGATGCACAGATATAGAGAGACACAGAGACGGACCCAGGTTACGAGAGCGAGCACCAGAGAGAGCAGGAGCTGTGGCGAGAAGTACCCACTGCAGTACACCCCCCCACACGGGCCCATGGCACATCCACTTTCAAGTTCCTGCGACCGGACGAACACCCGGGAAGTACCTTCCGTGACCGTCAGGAACGTGAGCGGGACCCAAGACCGCTGAGGTCACACGTCAAGTGCTCCGGTAAGGGTTTATTAATGTCCAGACTTGGGACTGCAAGAGTTGCAGTAGAGAAAAATGTATATCACATAGATCGCAGTTACCATAGAAAACATACAAAGGGCCGTAAAGTGAGCATAGAATAGACACTGATCATAATTTAAGATAATAGTGCATTAAAATGAGGATAGCGCAAATTCCCATTACGATTATAATTGGAATGAATGGCAGCGATTGGGAATGATTTTAAATAATAAACACAAAGGGAAGTGCAGCAGAGCAGGGTGTCAGAGTTAAGGGTTTTATTAAGTAAAACGGGTGGCACAGAGCGCCTTAAGTTAAGGTTTTCTTTAGTAGCACAGCACTGCTCATGACTAAAGCTAACTGAAGTTGCCTCCACTAAACTGGTGCAACCGAAAAAAAATTCTTTTTTTTTGTCCCGCAGCACACCCCTGGGGTGTTGCGAGGGCAGCCCTGGAGGTCAGCAGGATCACAGAAGAGTCCTGTTCCCCCTCACCTGGAAACCCTTCCTCTGGAGGACGGCGGTGACGACGGTGTTCCCACTTCCTTGGTGGACGCGCCGTGACACCAACAGACTCAACTGGGTCGTCATGGCAGCACGAGTGCAAGGAGGCGACCTATGAACATCAACAAGGCTCCTTCAGAACACAGAGTACCCTGTTCAGGGTCCGGCAGGGTCACAAGTACGGCACCGGGGTTCCCCTGCAGTCCCGAGGCCATGGTGGCCAGGAACAGCCTTCCAGTAAGTCACTGGGGAATGATCTGTTCTATGTTGAAGGCAAAACCGCATGTTCTTCATGCACTGGGTTAGAAAGGAAACACCATATCCCATTGTTTCACTTTCCTTTTGGGATAGAGAGAAACATTTCTGAATTTGGGACTTTCGGACCAGATTAATTTCAGACCAAAAGTGAAGTTATATACCTCATTGTCAAAAATGAAGCCCCTACTAAGTTTCTTCACCCTTTACTTCCCACTCCAGCCGTGCCCTCTCCTCCGGGCACTCCCAGAGATCCTGGTCTCAGCAGAGGACTTGCACCATCGAGTGTGAAGCGGAGAGAAGTGATGGCGGCAGCCGCTGCTTCAATGATCCTGGTGGAGCGCGCGAGAGGAAGAGCGCCCGCTGGGTGAAAAGGAGAAAATGAGCTGTAAAACGCAGGAGCTGTGCAGCGCTGCACCTCTCGATACACGCGGAGGGCCGAACACCTCAACACTCGAGAAGGAGAAGACGTCTGACTCAGGCATGTTCCAGGACGTGAGACGCAGGCCATTAACAAGGGCGGCACGTTCTCGAGACGAGCGACCCAGCGAGGTCTCCTCTCCCCTACCCACAGTCTGCAAGGGCCCGCCGCCCGCCAGTATGAGGGCATATTACAAAGACAGCCACTCCTTATCGTAACACTTCAAGGTCACCTACTGTCTCTTCTACATCAACATGTGTCCCCTCTTCTCATGTCTCTTCCTACATCAACATGTGTCCCCTCTTCCTCACTGTCTCTCATACATCAACATGTGTCCCTCTTCTCCATGTCTCTTCTACATCAACATGTTCCCCCTCTTCTCCATGTCTCTTCTTCATCAACATGTGGCCTCTTTCTTCATGTCTCTTACTACATAACAATGTGCCCTCTTCTCCATGGTATCTTCTACATCAACATGTGTCCCTCTTCTTCATGTCTCTTCTACAGTCAACATGTGTCCCCTCTTCTCATTCTCTTCTACATCAACATGTGTCCCCTCTTCTTCATGTCCTCTTATACATCAACATGTGTCCCTCCTTCCTTCATGGTCTGCTCATACATCAACATGTGTCCCCTCTTTCTTCATTTCTCTTCATCACATTCAACCATGTGGTCCCCTCATTCTTCATGTCTCTCATACATCAACCATGTGTCCCTCTTCTTCATGTCTCTCTACATCCAAACATGTGTCCCCCCTCTTTCTCCATGCTCCTTCTACATCAACATGTGTCCCTCTTCCCTTCATGTCTCTCTACAATCAACAATGTGTTCTCTTCTTCATGTCACTTCTACATCAACCATGTGTCCCCCGTCTTCTTCATGTCTCTCTACATCAAAATGTGTCCCCTCTTCTCCATTCCTCTTCTAGCATCAAACATGGTGGTCCCCCTCTTCTTCATGTCTCTTCTACATCAACATGTGTCCCTCTTCTTCATGTCTCTACATATCACATGTGTCCCCTCCTTTCTCCATGTCCTCTTCTACATCAACATGTGTCCCTCTCTTCATGTCCTCTTCTAACATCACATTGCTGTCCCCTCTTCTTCATGTCTCTCTAATCAACATGTGTCCCCTCTTCTCCTGTCTGCTTCTACATCAACATGTGTCCACCTCTTCTTCATGTCTCTTCTACATCAACATGTGTCCCTCTTTCTCCATGCTCTCCTTCTAACATCAACATGGTCCCCTCTTCTTCATGTCTCTTACATCAACATGGTGGTCCTCTTCTCCCATGTCTCTTCTACATCAACATGTGTCCCCTCTTCTTCATGTCTCCTCTACATCAAACATGTGGTCCCCTCTTCTTTCATGTTCTCTCTACAGTCAACACTGTGTTCCCCCTCTTCTTCATGTCTCTTCTACATCAACATGTGTCCCCTCTCTTCATGTCTCTTCTACATCAAATGTGTCCCTCTTCCTCATGTCTCTTCTACATCAACATGTGTCCCCCATCTTCTCCATGTCTCTTCTACATCAACATGTGTCCCCTCTTCTTCATGTCTCTTCTACATCAACATGTGTCCTCCTTCCTCCCAATGTCTCTTCTACATCAACAGTGTCCCCCTCTTTTCAGTCTCTTCACATCAACATGTGTCCCATTTTCTTCATTCTCTTCTACAATCAACTGTGTCCCCTCTTCTTCACATCTCTCTTCTACATCAACATGTGTCCCCTCTTCTTCATGTCCTCTTCTACCATCCAACATGTGTCCCCTCTTCTTCATGTCTCTTCTACATCAACATGTGTCCCCTCTTCTTATGTTCTCCTTCATCAACATGTGTCCCTCTTCTTCAATGTCTCTTCTAACATCAAACATGTGGTCCCCTCTTCCTTCAATGTCTCAATCTACATCAACATGTTTCCCTCTTCTCCATGTCTCTTCTACATCACATGTGTCCCCTCTTCTCCATCGTTCTTCTACATCAACATGTGTCCCCCTCTGTGTAAGAGTGGCAAAGTAACTCGGCGTGAACGCGGCTATTGAGTTCCTTTGTAACTCAAAATGTCTCTCTGAGGGGCGTGGGGAGGGGCTCCTTATTTTCATCTGAAGTAACAGACAGCGAGAATAGAGCACTTTGGAAACAGAGGCTGAAACGAGGGGATTATGGGTAATGCTGCAATGATCTGTTTGGTGTTTCAGCCAATCAGAGACAGGCTCTGGATATATCTGTGATGTATTGATGAAGAAGAGGATGATAGGGGACCTTTAATGTGTCTGCTGTTTACAAATCATAACTAATTGATGACACATCACTCCTGCATTAATCTGCTCCCAGGCACCCCTGCTGAACCCTCTATCCCCCGTATCACCGACACCCACGCCGACAGCATCAGTCTGGCCTGGTCTCGGCCCGTTGATGACGGAGGCGCCGACGTGATGGGCTACATCCTGGAGATGCAGGAGGCCGGGGCTGAGGAGTGGAAGAAGGCCCACGAGAAGACGCTGAGATCCGCCGAGCTGACGGTAACCGGGCTCTCCGCCGGGAAGAAGTACTGCTTCAGGGTCGCCGGCATCAACGTCAACGGCACCGGAGACTTCAGCGAGCCGTGTGCCGAGACCGAGCCCGTGGAGAGACTAGGTACGTGGAGAGAGGAAACGCCAGATTGATATGTAATAGAGGATAGGGCCGCACCTTAACTGAAGATAATAAACACATATTAACTCAGTTCGTAGTCAACTGGAGTTCCTATGGAGAACTGCATGAGTCGTAACCCTTAGATGACTCAGCTTTATCAATTCTTAAAACATGCTGAAGAGATTTTAACTTTTTGTTGTACCACATAAAATACGTCAGTAAATAGCCCACTGGTGGATATAAAAACTGAGGGTACTAACAAGAGTCTGCATTAGACGACATATGGTCAGACAAAAGTATATATAATAAATGTATGTTCTGATATTGTCCTACAGAAACTCCAGACTTTGAGCTCCATGACGACCTGAAGAAGACCATCTGTCTGCGTGCCGGCGGATCACTCCGCTTGTTCGTCAGCATCACAGGTCGCCCGGTGCCCGCCATCACCTGGAGCAAACCAGGGGTGGACCTGCAGAACCGAGGCTTCATCGACATCGGCAGCACCTCCACCACGCTCATCATCGATCGGGTGCACCGCTACGACGCCGGGAAGTACACACTGGTGGCAGAAAACTCTGCCGGCAAACAGGAAGTCAACATCCTGGTCAAAGTCTACGGTAAGGGAACGTGTGGTCTATGTATTCAGCATGGTAATCAGAATCCCTTTATTTTTGGGGAATGTACTGTATTACAACAGCAGAACAAATATACTTACATAATAAATAAAAAAGTAGGCACAAAAACACAATAAGTTCAAACAAATAACAGAACAGAGCACTCACGGAAGTAGCTGGTACTGTTCACAGATCATTGAAATAAAGCATAAATTGCACACAGTTTTATATGTACAATCTATTAAAGTTACCCTATTCTGCTGTAGTGTCTCCATTGAACCAACGTATTTGCATTGATAGATACTCCTGGACCCACCGGGCCCATCAAGATCAAGGAGCTGACCAAAGAGTCGGCCACCATCTCCTGGGAGGCTCCGGCGGTGGACGGCGGCGCTCCCGTTAACAACTTCATCATCGAGCGTCGCGAGGCGTCCATGAGAGCCTACAAGACCGTCACCTCCAAGTGCAGCAAGACGTCCTTCAAGATCGACGGGCTGATGGAGGGCATGCTGTACTACTTCAGGGTCCTTCCAGAGAACATCTACGGCATCGGAGAGCCCTGCGAGACCCCCGACATCGTGCTGGTCTGCGAGGTTCCTCTTCCGCCGCAAAAACTGGAGATGATAGACGTCACCAAGAGCACCGTGACGCTGGGCTGGGAGAAGCCAGAGCACGACGGCGGCAGCAGGCTGACGGGATACGTCATCGAGGCCTGCAAGTTCGGCACCGACAAGTGGATGAAGGTGGCCACGCTGAAGACCACGGACTTCGAGCACACCATCGAGAAGCTGAACGAGAAAGAGCAGTACCTGTTCAGGATCAAAGCCATCAACAGCCGAGGAGCCAGCGAGGCCAAAGAGATGCTGACGGCCATCACCGTGCAGGAACAGAGAGGTAAGAATCCACTTCCTGTTAGTTACTTCCTGCTCCTTATTATTTCTAGTCTTTTCATTTGTAATGTACAATGCCATGTCTTTTTATGCTGCTTCAAGGCAAAACATTCCCAAATATCTTATCTTACTTCCTGTTTGTTACTACCGTAATTGTGCCGGATCGGATCCACATTCATTCCTATAGGTAAAAATGTGACGCTGTGTTTCCTCCCCAGTGCTGCCGGTGGTGGACTTCTCCAGTATTCCTCAGAAGGTGGTGAACGTCCTGTCCGGAAAGACCCTGGAGCTGGACCTGCCTCTGGTGGGCCGGCCTCCTCCCGTCTGCTCCTGGTTCTTCAAAGATAACAAGATGAAGAAAACGGAGCGCGTCACCATCCAGAGCACCGGCAAGTTCTCCAAACTCACCATGAGCGACACCACCATCGACGACAGCGGCGACTACACGCTGGAGGTGAAGAACGTCGTGGGCGTCATCAGCGAGGTCGTGAAGGTCGTCGTGCTCTGTAAGGAAACTTTAATATTACTCTCTCTTTATGTTTGACTGACATCACACAGCTGACTGTGAAGAGGGAGGGCTGGGCGATAAAACAGTCAGGACATTTAACATGGTTTCATTGTTAGCAACATTTCTAAGAACTATCTTACCGTGATGCGTAATAATTACGTTTGAAATTACTCGTTTCCATAAGAATTCGATAATTCAGTAACAAGAAGTGTGTTTTCTGAGAATTTCTTTAGCATATAAAGCTGACTCGTTTTATCAGCTTGATTTGATAACTTCTCTTAGCAAATGTTTTCAGACGTTTTTTATTCTGCTGTTTCGTGTTTTTCGTGTTTTTCCTGCATATATTTATTGTGTGTAATCCAGATGTTTAATGCCGACCTTATTGATTAGAATGTTTCCTAACATCTCTGCGTGTCCCCTGCAGCTAAGCCCGATGAGCCCCAGGGCCCAATCAGGTTCGACGAAGTGGACGCAACCACAGTCTCCTGCAGCTGGGACTCCCCCCTCAGGGATGGCGGTGCCCCCGTCAGCGGCTACGCTGTGGAGCAACGTGACGCCCACCGGCCCGGCTGGGTGCCAGTCTGCGACTCCGTCAGCCGACCTACATTTAAGTTCGAGAACCTCAACGAAGGAGACGAGTACGTGTTCCGCGCCGCCGCTATCAACCGCTTCGGCACCGGAGAGTTCCTGCAGTCAGAGATCGTCACCTGCAGGAGCCTGAAGAGTAAGACAACCTACTCTACCTACTTTTATTTTGTTTTATTTATTTCATAGTTCTTAAAGGGTTTTATCTTATATTATTTATGTAAAACTTTCAGTAGCAACATTTCTTTTTACGTTGTTTTTTTAATATTTTAATCGTTTAACCTTTATTAGAATTATGACATTTTTATTACTATTACCTTTTTATTTGTATTTCTGTGGTACATATATGTTCACTTTGTTTTATAACATGTGATTTCCTCCCCAGACGTGCCTGGAACCCCGGGCCGCCCCACCATCTTCGACGTTTCGCGCGACGGCATGACGGTGGCCTGGAACCCGCCCGAGGAAGACGGGGGCCTCGAGGTTTCCGGATACATCATCGAGCGCAAAGAGGTGCGTTCGGAGCGCTGGGTGCGCGCCAACAAGAACCCGGTGACCATGACCCGGTACCGGTCCACGGATCTGATCGAGGGCCTGGAGTACGAACACAGGATAACCGCAATCAATGCCCGCGGACAGAGCAAACCCAGCCCGCTGTCCAAACCCGCCGTCGCTACAGACCCCATCGGTAAGAGACAGACCAAGTACTGTAAAACTGGTCCACATCGAAGGGCCGCCATCGCAGCGGTGGTACATCAGAATTTCTTGAAACAGTTGGGTCTATGCTGTAGTTGAGCAGTTTCAGAGAAGTGTGGGAATTTAATCAGTGCGTTCCTTGAGATAGCTTATTGCACGAACAAAATATGTATATCTTTTAAAACACTGTTTGATGAAACAGATGAGACATTTCTATGAAAAAAAACTCACAAATACAAGAAAAAAATGTACAATAAATAATTACAAAATGTAAAAGAAAAATATGTAGTTTGGGATAAGAAAACCTTTGGAGAAGAGAATCAGAAATGATCTGAGACTGAAGTCATTAACTGACCTTTAATCCAGGGTTAAGCCACCTTTTTCCATACACTAAATCTCGGTGCGTTTTGACTGATGGAGGATTTTAGTAATAGAACGTCTGGATCTGAAGTTACCATACAAGCTGAGGTAACGATAGCAGCAGAAATCCTCATTAAATCCATGCCCCCCCCCACAGATCCTCCTGGCTGTCCCCAGAACCCGAGGATCACCGACACCACCAAGTCCTCCGTGTCTCTGGCCTGGAGTCCTCCCGACGACGAGGGCGACGCCCGGGTGGACGGCTACCTGATCGAGATGCAGAAGGCGGGCAGCATGGCCTGGATGAAGTGCAACACCACGCCATCCCTCATCTGCGAGTACACACTCACCCAGATGCCTCAGGGCGAGGAGTTCAAGTTCCGCGTGATGGCCTGCAACGCCGGTGGCTCCGGAGAACCCGCCGAGGTGCCGGGAACCGTCATTGTGACGGAAATGCTCGGTAAGAGGATTATATAAGAGTATTAACATCTATTACTGTCTTTTGTTCAGTTCTCAAAAAGCTGACAAAAAGAAATACTACAGAGGAAAAATAAAGCAGACTTAGAACAAAGGATGTGCAGGATGCAGACAACAGAGACAGAAATATATAACTTTGTTTATTTCAGAATCAGAATTCCTTTACACATGCCACAGAGGGGACATTGTCAAACTTAGAAGAGGGCCAGCAATTAAAAGAACTTGAACTATAAGAATGACCCGTCCTGCAGGAATAGTAATGTTTACACTCTGGTTGTTGCAGAATCTCCGGACTACGACCTGGAGCTGAAGTACAAAGACTTGTACGTGGTTCGTCACGGAGGCGTGGTCCGCCTCTCCGTGCCCGTCAAGGGTAAGCCTCACCCGACCTGCACCTGGTCCAAGGACAGCGGCGCCTTCTCTGCCAAGGCCATGATCGCCTCCACAGAGGACGCCAGCGAGCTGGTGATCAAGGGAGCGGAGAGGAGCGACACCGGCGTCTACGAGCTGCTGCTGCAGAACGCCATGGGCAAGAAGAAGGCCACCATCAAGGTGAAGGTCATCGGACGGCCGGCCGCACCCCAGGGCCCGCTGATGTTCGAAGAGATACAAGCCAACTCTGTCAAGGTGTCCTGGAAGACGCCCGAAGACGATGGTGGTGCAGAGATCCTGGGCTACATCATGGAGAGACGTGAGGCGACGAGGAACGCATGGTACACCGTGGACTCCAGAGTCACAGAAACACATCTTCTGGTGAAGGGCCTGTCGGAGGGGGTGGAGTACCACTTCAAGGTGACCGCCGAAAACTCCTTCGGCATCAGCTCCTCTCTGAAGTCCGAGCAGCCTCTGGTTCCCAAGACCCCCATCTGTAAGTGTTCCTTCAAAATCCACATGCAGTTGTTTATTTCACTAACTTTGTCTGTTTATGTTTGCCGAGTTCTCCTAAACTCACCAGACGTTAGCATTAGCATTATGCATAACACTTCAAAACAATTGCAATATAAAAAGTAATTGTGTCAATGTCAGTAATGAAATGGGGGGGTAACTAACATATTTCATTGTGAAATATGTTAGTTACATTGCAGAATCAGAAACGGTTTTATTACCAAGTAGGTTTACACATATGAGGAATTTGCTTCGGTGTAAATGGTGCATTCAAAGATACAGGAAGAAGAATATGTGTAACACCTGTAGTGTTGAACAGTGAGTAATGATTCAGTAATAAATGTGTTTTTCTTTTACCTAGGTGTCCCCGAGGCTCTCATCACCGCGCCGGAGATCATGGACGTCACCAAGAGCTCTGTGGCGTTGGCCTGGGTCAAACCAAAGTACGACGGTGGCTCTGCCATCACGGGATACTTCATTGAGCACAAACTGGTGTCCGTGGAGACGTGGACGCGGCACATGGTCGCCGTCAGCTCCACCATGTTCACACTGTCCGGGCTCACGCCCGATGCCGAATACTCCTTCCGCATCGTCGCCGCCAACGCAATCGGACAGAGCGAGGCCGGGCCCACGTCCGAGCCCGTCACATGCAAGGATCCATTCGGTGAGAACCAGAACCAAAGTCACAACAAAAGCCAGAACCAGAGCCATACATTAAGAATAGAAGAATATACACAAATATTTTTAAACAGCTCCGGTCACCCATGTTTTAGAAAGTACTTAAATAGATAGTTGATTCATGAGAGATGAAAAAACATTTGATTTGGACCAAAATAAAGTTGGAAAGCTGTTTTAAGGAAACCATTGCCTGTGAAACTCCCAAATAGAATCTGATCAGAATCAGAATAACTGTATTAGTTCCACAGAGGGGAAATTGTTACATTTATGTATTCATTGATGATCCGTTGGCACCAGGAGCTTATTGTTTTTATTTCTCTCCCCAGACAAGCCTAGTCAACCGGGCGAGATCGACACGGTTACCGTGGCAAAGAACTCTATCGCCATCCGCTGGAAGGCGCCAGCGTGTGACGGAGGAAAGGAGGTGCTCGGCTACTGGGTGGAACACAGGAAGTCCATAGAGAGCAAATGGACGAAGTCCAGCAAGCAGATGCTGAAGGAGAAGGAGAAGGAGTTCACCGCCTATGGCCTCGCCGAGGCAACCGAGTACGAGTTCAGAGTGTTCGCCGAGAACGAGACGGGCATGAGCCGACCACGCAGGACCGCCACCTGCATCAGGACCAAGCTCGGCGGTGAGCCAGATCATCATTATTATTATTTGCAGTATAATATTTAGTATTATATTATTAGTCATTCTGAAATCCCATTATTTAAGTTACTAATAAACATGTTCCTTGTTCTGTGGCACAGTTGAAACTGCACCGGGCCTGAGAAAGGAAATGGACGAAGTGACAACCAAACTGGGCCAGCCCGGCGTTATGAAGTGCCAGATCATCGGCAGACCCCTCCCCGACATCAAGTGGTACCACACCGGCAAGGAGGTCATCGAGTCCCGCAAGTTCGAGATGAGCTCTGACGGCCGCAACCACTCGCTGTCCATCAGCACGGACCAGCAGGAGGATGAGGGCGATTACACCTGCAAGGCTGTCAACGACGCAGGCGAGGCCGAGACCACCGGCACGCTGGTGCTGGAGGCCGCTGCACGCTTCCACCCCGACTACCCGCTGAAGGAAACCTACTACGCCGGCCTGGGGTCCACCCTGCGCATCCACTGCGTCTACATCGGCCGGCCTGAGCCCAAGATCATGTGGCTGCACGGCGCTAAGACCCTGGAGGACACAGACGACATCAGCATCGAGACCACCGGGTTCTACACCCACCTGGTGATCAAGAACGTGCAGCGCAGAAAGCACGGAGGAAAATACAGAATCCGGCTGCACAACCACTTTGGCCGGGCGGACACCGCCTTCAACGTGGAGATCTACGGTATGCAGCAGCAACAGATGTTAGGGGGACTGTTAATATGTTAGAAGATGAGGCTAATGTTGTTAGCAATATACTATAAGCAGATAAAGAAAGGGAAACGTTATTGGTACTATTATTATTATAATTAGATTCCAGTTGAGTGCAGTTTGCTTTGGTCTATAAGCATTTTTTAGTATTTGTTAGTCTCTTAAAATGTAAATGGAGGTTCTCCTCCCTTCCCCCAACTCACATATTCAGACTGTCAGTATTGAGTTTATAATTGAATATGCTGCCTGTGTTTGCAGACAAACCTGAGATGCCTCAGGGCCCCATCAAGCTGGAGGCTCTGCTGAAGAACTCGGTCATCATCAGCTGGAAGGCGCCCGCAGACGATGGCGGTTGCATGATCACAAACTACATCGTGGAAAAGCGCGAGGACAAGGAAGGCACCGAATGGGAACTGGTGTCCTCCTCCATTAACGGCATCTCCTGCCGCGTGCCCAACCTCATCGACAGCGCCGGGTACTTCTTCAGGGTTTACGCCCAGAACCGCTACGGCAACAGCGAACCTCTGGAGCTCAGCGCCCCCATCCTCATCAAGAGCCAGCTGGGTATGTTTTATTTATTTCATTGGTGTTAAAAGTCTGATAAAAAGCAACCCATGTTTTTATCTAGTACTTAAATGCTAACTTCCTGAAAGATACAGCGCTGATACTACGGTCTGGGCTAACTCTGACACAAAAGTAAAACATGTTCATCATACAGCTTTATGTATTCTTCAGCGTTCAATCATATTTGAGTTTAGCCACAAATCTGTAGAAAAAGATATCAACCCCTTCTTTTATAATTTCCTGACACCTTATTGTTATCTACAAACACCCACATGTACTCACGGTTTCTGGATTGTGTTTTCCTCACGCAGAGAAACCATCACCTCCTCTGTCCCCGGTTGTTTCCGGCATCACCAAAGACTCCTGCGTGGTTTCCTGGAAGCCTCCTCTCAGCGACGGCGGCTCCAAGATTAAGTGCTACTGCCTGGAGAAGAAGTTCAAGAAGGACAAGAAGGAATGGAGCGAGTGGGCCGCGGTGACAAAGGATGAGATCAAGCAGACTGTGTTCTCCGCCAAGCGCCTGGTCGAGGGCGTCGAGTGCATCTTCCGCGTGAAATGCGAGAACCTGGGAGGTGAGAGCGACTACAGCGAGGAGACGGCGCCCATCGTGCCGGTCACCGCTGTGGATATCCGTGCTCCTGCCTTCAAGGAGGAGCTGAGGAACATGAGCGTCAAGTACAAGAGCAACGCCACCTTGGTGTGCAAGATCCTTGGCCAGCCCAAGCCTGTGATCAAGTGGTTCAGACGAGGAAAGGAGATCCACTCTGACGGAAAGAAGATCAAGATCCAGGAGTTCAAGGGAGGCTACCACCAGCTGGTGATCACCGAGGCGGACGATGAAGACTCCACCGTGTACCAGATCAGGGCCACCAACCAGGGAGGCTCCATCTGCGCCACTGTGTCTCTGGATGTGGAGAGTAAGTTCAGATTTATTTATCCGGGCCACTGGTTCCCAACTAGTTTTCTATTTGGTTTATAAAGTCAGAATAGGGAAACATTTCTTCTGTCAATTGAAAAACCCAAAATATTCCCGAAGATAGACAAGTTCCAGGAATTTGCTTTGGTGTATCAGTACATGGCATTAACACGGGGGCAGAAAATGAACTGAGTTAGGTACAAATATCTACAACATATTTAGAGCTGAGACAATTTTAGAAGAAGTTGTGTTTGCAGGAATTTAAATAAGACTTGACATTTAAACATTTTCTTATTTCTAGTTCCTGCTAAGATCAACCTGCCGAAGAACCTGAAGGACAAGGAAGCCATTCCCGCCCTGCGCGGAGAAGTGGTCAATATCAAGATTCCTTTCAGCGGCAAACCAGATCCTGTCATCACATGGCAGAAGGGACAAGATCTCATCGACAGCAACGGCCACTACCAGGTCATCGTCACCAGGTCGTTCACCTCGCTGGTGTTCTCCAACGGAGTGGAGAAGAAGGATGCCGGTTTCTACATTGTCTGTGCCAAGAACAGGTTTGGAATCGACCAGCAGACCGTCGAGTTGGATGTGGCCGACGTTCCCGATCCTCCACGTGGAGTCAAAGCCACTGACGTCTCCAGGGATTCTGTCAGGCTGAACTGGGTGGCCCCCGCCAATGACGGAGGCAGCAAGGTCGTCAGCTACATCATTGAGAAGTGCCCCACCACCGCCGAGAGGTGGGAGCGCGTCGTCCAGTCCAGAGACACCCACTACACCGTGACCGATCTCTTCGGAGGAACCAGCTACCAGTTCAGAGTCATCGCTGAGAACAAGTTTGGACAGAGCACCCCATCTGAGACCAGCGGACCAATCATGACCAAGGAGGACAAATCCAGAGTCCTGCTGTACGACCAGGAGGTGGACGATAGTGGTCGCGTCCCCAGGGGCAAGATTCACTCTGACGTCAAGAATATGCATACCAAGTACGCCATTGCAGAGGAGTTGGGCAGAGGTCAGTTTGGTATTGTCCACCGCTGTGTGAACATCACCACTGAGAAGACTTACATGGCTAAATACTACAAGGTGAGAGGCGCTGATCAAGCGATCGTCAAGAAGGAAATCGCTACCCTAAATCTGGCCAAACATGAAAACTTCCTGCTCCTGCAAGAGTCCTTTGACAGCCCAGAGGAGCTGGTGTTGATCTATGACTTCATATCTGGCGCAGACATCTTTGAGCGCCTCAGCACAGCCGAGTTTGAGTTCAATGAGCGCGAGATCGTCAACTACATCCGGCAGATCTGCTCGGCTCTTGATTTCCTGCATGATGAGAGCTACGGACACTTTGACATCAGACCTGAGAACATTGTGTACACAACTCGAACCGGCTCTAATGTGAAGATCATTGAGTTGGGCCAGTCCAGACACATGACTCCTGGAGACATCATCAAAGTCCAGTACACCACTGCAGAGTACGCTGCTCCTGAGATCCACCAGTGTGACATGGTCAGCACCGTCACCGACATGTGGGCGGTGGGTGTCCTCACCTACGTGCTCCTCAGTGGCCTGAATCCATTCACAGCTGAAACAAACCAGCAGATGATTGACAACATCTCCAGTGCCGCCTACACCTACGAAGACGAGTCCTTCAAGCAGGTCAGTGTGGAGGCGTTGGACTTCACAGACCGCCTGATGACGAAGGAGCGTAAACATCGTATGTCCGCGGCCGAGGCTCTGGTGCATCCTTGGCTGACCAAGCCTGCAGAGGAGATCAGCAGCAGGGCGATGCAGACCGGCAGACACAAGAGATACTACCAGACAATGGAAAAGAAAGAGTGGAAGACAGTTGTCTCCGCAGCCCGTATAGCCAGCGGCGGCTCCATCAGAACCCAGCGTGGCGTCTTTGTCTCCAAGGTGAAGATCGCTCCGTTTGAACACGGCCCTGTCGGAGGCCAGATCAGCCATGCCGTGGCGAAAGAGGGAAGCAATGTGAAATTTGGCTGCAACATTGAAAACTACGACAGCACTACTGAAGTCACATGGTACTGTGGCGTCAGGCAGCTTGAAGCTGGAGACAAATATGAAATTGAATTTGAGGACGGCCTGGCTTTCATCACCATCAACAAGGTCACAAGGGCAGATGATGGCACCTACAGATGCAAGATTGTGAACGAGTATGGGGAGGACAGCGCCTACGCAGAGCTGTTTATCAATGGTGTCAGATCTTACCGCGACTTCTTCACCGCCCGCGTGGTAAAGAAGACGAAGCGCAGAGTGGACACTGCCAGGATGCTTCAGAAGCCTCCGGAGTTCACTCTTCCTTTGGTCAACCGCACCGCCTACATTGGTGAGGACATACGCCTTAGTGTCACCGTCACAGTTCACCCAGAGCCTCGTGTCGTCTGGCACAAATCTGGACAGAAACTGGTCCCTGGACAAGATGAAAAGAAATACACCTTTATCAGCGACAAGGGCCTGTACCAGATGATCATCCACAAACTTGAGGATGAGGACGAAGCCGAGTACAGCGTTGTGGCACGCAACAGTTTTGGTGATGACAGCTGCAAGGCTCGTATCACCGTTGTTCCCCGGCCTAAACCAGCAGACCTCACCTTGAGGCCAATGTTCAAACGCCTGCTCGCCAACGTGGAGTGCCGGGAGGGCCAGAATGTGCGCTTTGAGATCAGAGTATCCGGACATCCCCAATTGAAGTGGGAGAAGGACGGCATGCCTTTGGCCTTTGGACCGTCCATCGAGGTCATCCATGAGGGTCTTGATTACTACATCCTTCACGTAGGAGGCACTCTGATTGACGACTCCGGTGTTTACCGAGTCACTGCTACCAACTCTGCCGGCTCCGCCAGCTGCCAAGCAACACTCAAGGTCGAGCGGTCCACTCACGTGAGGAGGGAAGTCGAAATGAGTGCCAAGGAGAAGAAAGCAATGGCTGGAAAGGCAGAAATGGACAAAAAGGTGAGGCTGTCTCAGATTATGTCTGACACAGTATTCATACCTCTACCACCCTTGGCAGTGCAGGCAGTCAGGGAGGCAGCCTCCATGTTCAAGCCCGCCGTGACCACAAAGAAGGGGGAGAAGACCGAGGCGGAGATCCAGAAAGAAAAAGAGGAGAAGAAGAAGCGCGCTGATGAAAAGAGGCTGCGCATGCCATACGATGTTCCTGCTCCTCGCGTCATTAACCCTGCGTCTCTCGTGGAGGACGTGGAGATCAAACACTTCCAGCCACTCTCTGACATGAAGTGGTACAAGAAGCTGCGAGATCAGTACGAGTTCCCTGAGCCGATGGACAAAATCCATCAGAAGAGGTTGAAGCGTATCCGCCTCTCCAGGTGGGACCAGTTCTACGAGATTCCTATCAGGATCAAGGACCATTATAAGCCCAAGTGGCGCATCTCTGCCATGACTCAGGACGACTTGGAGACCGTGAGGCCTGCAAGGCAGCGCTCTCCTTCCCCTGAGCTGGAAGCCTACCACCGCATCAGGAGGAGGTCTCTGGGTGACATGTCCGATGAGGAGCTCCTGCTGCCTGTGAAAGAGTACCTGTCCATGAAGAGGACTGAGGAGGAGAGGCTTCGTCTGGAGGATGAGTTGGAGTACGGTTACTCTGCTTCCCCACCCAGTTTCAGCCCGGTGCGCTTCGAGCTTTCGGCCCTGCGTCCATCATCCCCAAGAAAAGCCTACAGCGAGGACGACGAGGCGGAAGAGGCCCGCAGATACGACTCCTATAGAATCCCATCTAAATACGAGGCCGGACCCAGTTACGTTGACCTCCGCCAGCGACACGACAAAGCCACCCACAGACCTCAAAGACAGAAACAGAGGGTGCATGAGGAGAGAGAAGACCAGGAGCTGCTGCGCCCTCACACAACCAGCCAGAGGTTATCCACCTACAAGAGTGCGCTCAAACGCATGGAGTTTGAGGAGAAGACTCGCACCTCTAAAAAGGAAACAACTGTCACCGTCTCGACCTTCTCTAAGGACGTCGAATCTGAACACCTCACATCCTTCACCTCCGAATATATGCCCAAACCGATCAAGAAGCTTGAAACACCTGAGCCCCACATAAGGACATCACGTAGCCAAGAAAGGTCTGCCGTGTCCGATGCGGCCCTCACTAAAGTCGACTATGCCTCCAGGTATGAGGAGAGAAAGATGGCTCTGAGATCGGAGAGGAAATCGGTGGAGAGGACTTTCGAGACGGTGACACAGGCTCCCTTCAGTCTTGACCACGGCCCCCGGATCACCATTAGGATGCGGTCACACCGCGTACCCTACGGCTCCAACACCAGGTTCACCCTGAACATCCAGGCCAGACCCGAGCCAGAGGTCAAGTGGTTCCACAATGGGAAAGAGATTGATCAGACCGGCAAATACCACATGAGCCACCTCAGTGGGGTCCTGACTCTCAGGATTAACAACTGCATGACTGAAGACTCCGGCACGTACCGCGTGGTCTGCACCAACGCCAAGGGAGAGACTTCGGACTACGCCACGTTGGATGTGGCCGGAGAGGAATACGCTGCCTTCTCCTCGCTCCGCAAAGACGAGGAGCCTCCATCCTCCCATCTCCCAGAGATGACCCGGACAGAGGAGTATCACATGTCCTCCTCAAAGACAACCGTGATGGAGAGCAGGACTGAGACAAAGAGCACCACTGTTGTTGTTGAGAAGCGTACGGAGAAGACGACTTCTCCAGCCAAGATCCTGAGCAAACCTCAGTCCCTGACAGTGGAGGAGGGAGACTTTGCCAGGTTTGAGTGTGATGCGGACGGCGAACCGGCGCCTTCAATCACCTGGCTGCACCAAGGATCCTCCATCGGATCCTCTTTCCGTCACCACATCATCTCCACGCAGCGCAGCTCCTCCTTCGAGATCTCCACCGTGGAGATGTCGGACGATGGCAGCTACTCCGTGTTGGTGGAAAACGCCGGAGGCAAACAAGAGGCCCATTTCACTCTGACCGTCCGCAAGTCCGAATCCAAGGAGAAACTGGCGGCCAGAATCACCTCCCCTGAGGCCAAGTCCCCCATACCAGTCAAGTCCCCCGAACCAATCAAGTCTCCTCAGAGGGTCAAGTCCCCAGAGCCAATCAAATCCCCTCTGAGGGTCAAGTCCCCGGAGCCAATCAAATCCCCTCTGAGGGTCAAGTCCCCGGAGCCACTGAAGTAGTGTAGCAGCACGCCCCCGCTCCGGCCAAGTGCGACGCAATTGTACCTCCAATCTTGTCGCGAAGTCCCGGGAAGCCAGGAGGTCAGTCTTGCGCTTTCTAGGTTTTTATTATTCAAAACGACTCAAAGCAGCCCCGTCCTCGGCGAGATTGGAAACGGCTCCGGCGAAATCCTGAAGTTGACTAGCACTCCGTGTCTCAAAGCAAAGAGCAAGAGTCCCAATAAGCAAGTACCTTGAAAGGACCCTTTGCTAGCAAGTAGAAACAAGTCCATTATAACAGATTTATTGTTACGTCATGTAAAGGGTATTTGGCAAAGTTAGAGCCGATATATGGTAATACATGTAACAGTGGTCAAAGTTTTTAGAATGCAAGAATTAACAGGGTTATACCGTGTAAATATTGTTGCAATCTGCACTCAGATCAAAACGTAAAAATTAATACAGTTCAAACCATGTTTTTATCAAGTATAAATGTTTTTGTCCTTTAGGTCTAGAAGAGTGCAAATTTTTTAAGTAGTAACGATTAAGTGTTTAGTTTCCAAGACTCATCCCCCTCGGCCCCTTTATTTAAATTGAAAATCCAAAAATGTACCTTCGTCTGCACTAGTCCCAGAGGCGCCGAGCTCCCAGGTAGCTCAGCCCCTTAGACCTCAACTTTTGTTTTATTTAATTAATGATTAGTTCTGTCGTCATTATTTTGGTGAATTACTAATAAATATAAAGTATAAATGGTGTTTCGCGCATTATTTTATCACAATTACACATAAGTATGACAATTTATTTTAGTTAAACAATCGTATTTGAATCAAATTTTGTATGGCAAGTCGAATTTACAACAAATATAAGCTTTTGTATTTAAACGCGTGTTAGCGAAAATAGACGTTCTTAGGAAGTAAGAACGCGCAATCGTAAATCGTATACCGATTATAGTAAACTGAAATTTGTGATGTAGATATCTGTAGCTCTATAATAATAACGACTTTAATTTCACTTCCATGTCAAATAAAATTAATGCAAAACTCAATGTCTGCACTCCAACGCATACTTGTTGTGGCTTGATGGCATTACATTGACGCATTCATAAAGGTCATAATATTTTCAATCTGCTCTAATGTCGGCAATTTTACGTAATTTTACTTTTCAGTACTTTCTCTATTCCTCTCTTTTTCCGCACAATTCAATACATAACTTACATGTTATAGTTTTTAGGAGAGACAATACACGCTATAGCCTGTAACCACTTTCCTCCCGCCTTCTCTAATGCGGTGTCGGCGGTAACTTTCTCCTCCTCGGTTATCTATATATCAGTCCACTGCCTCGAAAAACCACCTCAGAGAAAGAAGTGTTAGGTGCGGGGCGGTTGACGCTCTCCTTCGACGTCCCGAAGAGAGAGAGGGGGACTTGTTATAAGACGAACGATTGTAATGCCGCGTAAAATTAATTTTCATGGGTAAACTTGGAAAGAGTCTCGTGAGGTAACAGAGGAATGAAAATTCGAGAGAGATACCTACGCTTCTTATTATGCTTATTCGATTAATTATGGTACACAAGTTGTGATACACAAACATATAACCTAAACTTAGACCCCCCTGCCATATCAAAAGGAGAATGGAAATGCCTCAGCCCCTTTTGTAAACCTCTCTGACCCTGAAGTGGGAGACACACCTCTGGAACTAACCGAGGCCCCTAAACTGGGAGTCTCNCCTAGAAGCTGTGATCAGCTGTTACATTGCATTTAGCTGACCCTTTTATCCAAAAGGACTTACAATAAGTGCGTTCGACCAACAAAATACAAACTTGAAGAAAACTTCAAGTTTGTATTTTGTTGGTCGAACGCACTTATTGTAAGTCCTTTTGGATAAAAGGGTCAGCTAAATGCAATGTAACAGCTGATCACAGCTTCTAGGAATAGTAAGGCAATCATCTTCAGTTGAATGGCCATTAAAATGCTTTGTGTCTACAGAGGATCGCTGTCTTTACAATATAACACATAATTCTGGCCTGTGCAAATGAAAGCTAAAAAAAAATTTCAGGCACAAACAAAAGTCTGCTATATCTATATATATATAGATATAGATATATATGTATTTATATATATATATATAGGAAGACACATACAATGTTTGATCAAACACATACAGTCAACAATACAGCAATGACTGTCTTCATTGTTACTTAGATGAAGACATGTCTAATGAATAACTTCAACCAATCATGTGTTAACGACTCTATGCCCTTGGTATTGCAGTTCCAAGAGAAACACAGATGAAACCATTTACTACTTTTAAACAAAAGCGTTTACAAAATATGTGCAGACATTACATAACAGAACATTTAGAACTTTTTCCAACTGGAATGTAAACTCTTTTTCAGTCAGCATTAGAAAAGCTCAGGGAAATCTCTTCTATTGTTATCCCAGCAGCAGATCAGAGAACAGTGCTTAAATCTCACTTCACATACACATTTCTACATCAGCAGCAAGAGCACAGAGCAGCTTTTTCAACAATAATGATAATAATAATAATAATAATAATAATAATAATAATAATAATAATAATAATAATAATTAATACCAACATGATATAATCTTAGATGCTATCATTGGTGAGAAGGACGTGTCTGAGCCTCTGATATGGAATGATTTGTTTTGTAAAGGCTTATTGTAGTGTTAGAATAATCAGGACGAAGCTCCTCTACGGTTTCGGGGCGTTCTGCATTCGCTGTCGTCGCCTGGCTAACGCCTCCTGCTTCTTCCTCTCGATCTCGGCTGCAGAGCACTTTGCTGTCATCTGGCTTGTGACAAAAACTGAAAAGGAGGAAGGGAAGTGAGGGAAATTAATGAAGACACTGAATACGAGCTTAGAAATCATTGAGAATTAAACACTTTAAGACAAAAGGTTCAAATTGACCCTAAATCAGAACTTGTGTGGCGACTGAACAGCTAAGTTCTAATTTGATGACATACATAATTCGCTACCATAACTAGAACCAGCAGGGCACCCATGGTGGAGCTCATTTGGAAAGTACTAAAACTCACCCTCCATGTCCAGAAAAAAAAAAATCAGTTTGCAATTCATTGGCAATGAAGCTTCCTGAGGTTTGGACTCCTGACAGCATCCCAAATTAAATCCATAGCTCTGTTTACTTGTTCTGGGGGGGAATTGTCCATGTGCACACGCTGTCATTGATTATAAGAACAACATGTGACATCTGTTTCACTTGTGAGTTTTCACTTCAATATCCAGTCTAAATGCAGAGTATTTAAGATGGTAAATGGAACAGACAAACTGCCAAGAAGCATTGAGTGGAGGGAAAAAACAGTACTTGCTTAATAGAAATACCTTTACAGGGTATATGCAGGAATCCTGAAGTCAAATGTAAAACCTTTCAAGACCTTTTTTAAGACCCTTTCCATACATTTTAAGA